AATATTCTAAGTCAGGACTTGATCACCAAAATCATGTCCTGGGCTAGTACCTGCCTACAATATATACTTTTCTTCTTGTCATTTAGAATTTCATGACATTGTTTTTATTATCAACAAAAACCATTTTTGTTACATGGTAAGTAAAGATCATCTATCCTTTTTATTAAAAGACAGAGGTTTTCACTATGCAGTTGTGTATTGACAATTCTTAACAATTACACACCTACACACACAGAAATGCACACATCCCAATATATTTGTTATTTAAATTATGAAATATAGCATACTCAAATACTGCTAAGGCAAGTGCAGTTCATAAATTATCGTTAGACAAATCAAAGATCAATAAGATGACACTAAGAAATATTCTAAGTTTTCCAGTGAAATATTACTGGTTCACTGTTAAAGTGTATTCCCAACTGATAACTATATTGAAAACATTTCCTTTTCTGCCTTTTACCTAATAAATGTCCCACAACAAGTATTCAGCAGCTTGCTGAATCTTAAGTATTTGGAATTAAAATGTATTTTTTTATTTAACATTAATCTTCTCCCTCCCTCCTGTCTACCTCTACTCTCAAAAAATAACTAAAGCTTTTCCAAATCTTTTGCAGTGTGAGCAGTTCCCCTCTTGGGAATGAAAAGGATGTGAGAACCATGTGATGAATCACTGTGCTTATGTGTGTCCACATTTTTCAATATTTTTTAAAAATATTTTTAAAAGACTTCAGCTGCCTGTATTTAAATGCATCTTTGTAAAGATGATAAAGAGAACAAAGATTTCTATTGGCTTAGCCCTAATCTGTTTGGTTTGTTGCAATTCTTTTTTCTTTCCCCTTTTATTTTAACTGTTAACCTATTTATAAATCTAAATCTACATACAAAGGTCATTGGTTGGCTGAACTTAAACCATTTTACTCAGTAAATTTAATTAAGAAAATACAGTGCAACTCATAAGCAAATGAGTTTTTTCCTAGTTTTAAACCAAACCACCCTCTTGAGTGCTGATTGCCTTGCCCGACCCCTGGTGATACAGAAACAGGCAAAATTAAAAAGGACATTAAAGCTTCATTAAATCTGAAACACATTTAGTACAGTGACATATCTGCAGGCCATTTCAGAGAAGATTACATACTCTCTTTTGTAAGTTTCCTAATTTATAATACCTTGACAATAAAAACTGGGGAAATGCAAGTAGATTAATAGACCAGTGGGGGTAAAAGATACAGAATGGCCCCGGGTCCGTCTGTCTCTGGAATACTCAGAGCATATGCGCCCTCTTTCCCCATAAGGATTCTGTGTTTATTTTGACTTTTGACAGCCTCTTGAAGAGCCCTTTTTCCTTCTTACGTGTTTCTAATAGAGCTTGATGAAAGGGTTCTAGGGCCTGTCTGTATATGCCTTTCTACTTTGCCACGAGACAAATAGTGTGGAAATAAACATAGCAGCTGCATTAGACCTGGAAGGACTGACGTAGTGGAAGGCAGGTTCCTCTGCTGCCACCTTAACATGGCTGCTTTCGCTGCCACCCTGACAGTGCTGTGGCCCATGTTCTAGTGAACTTGGTATAGCATTGGAATCCTTGCCCGGCTAGTGCAGCGGCCCAGGGATGACATTCACTGGGGGAAGAAGGGGTTGTCCTACTGCTGTTGCCCAGGTACCTACTGGTCAAGGCCAAAGAACCTTCCTCTGCCCTGAACTCTAAACTGCAGGATGCCTTAGATTCATTCCTGCCAGGAGCATAGCTGATCCCAAGTATCAGGAAAAGACAGAACAGAACAAAGCCAGGTCCAAGGATGAGGTGTTCACCAGTTCACACACTGTTCCCAAGGAAGCTGGGCCGGAGGCCACCACTGAGCTTTCTCTCTGTTCTCCTGCATGGAGGTATCTTACTCAGCACCCCAGTGACATCAGCGGTCCTGTTTAACTTTAACTTGTAGCAACTGTGACAGATGGGCCAAGTAAATGAGTCCCAGTTTCCTGGAGCCTGGATCTATATAACCAATGATAAGGTTCAGAACCAGGGGTGGTACTGAAATGGGGAGAATTTTAATTTCACTGTATCCTCTTCTTTTTCTTAAAGCTTCTGCTTATCATCTCTTAATTCTTTAAACTGCAAGAACCAGTAGCCAGTGTTGGCAGATGCCAGCTCGTTAAGATCTTGAAGGCATGTGTGGTGGGCAAGTGTCCTCTGCCTGCAAGCCATGGGGACACAGTTCTTCCCTAGTTCCTAATGATATGTTCAACACGTTCCCAAGTGCATGGTGCCATGTCATTCTGTAGAGGGCTTGAGACAGTTCTTAGTGTTTTCTGGTAGTTGATAAACTGTTGGGGTTTTAGTTGTGAGACCTTCCTCTTGCTGTTTTTCTAGTGCCAGTGGAAGTATGAGCAGAATTCATGGCCCACAGATCATGTGGTGGTAGATGGCACTCTGGGCAAGCTGCCTGCCTGTCAGGTGCCTGGGCCCCCACCACACTCGACCACAGACATAACTCCTTCATCAATGTGCATGTTCTCACTGTCCAGAAACACACCCATCCTTGAAACTGTAGGGCAGACCTACATTGGGTTAGGCCAGAGTGGGCGCCATGGGAATGCTAAGCCCCTCCCCTTCCTATTGGACATCAGCACACAGACAGCAAACGTACTAAACTCGGAAACTGATTTAGGGGAACAGCCACACTTTCTTTACTCCATCTTGTGATATTTTTAATTTTCACTTTTTATTCCAATATGGAAGATTAACTCAGGGAGCAGTGAACTACATCTCTAGCCCTTTTTTCTTTTTCTTTCTTTTTCTCTTTTACTCCATCTTTATCTTTCTTTCTTTTACTCCATGTTGTGATATTTTTAATTTTCACTTTTTATTCCAATATGGAAGATTAACTCAGGGAGCATTGAACAACATCTCTAGCCCTTTTTTTCTTTATCTTTCTTTTTCTCTTTTACTCCATCTTTATCTTTCTTTCTTTTACTCCATCTTGTGATATTTTTAATTTTCACTTTTTATTCCAATATGGAAGATTAACTCAGGAAGCACTGAGCTACATCTCTAGCCCTTTTTTCTTTTTCTTTCTTTCTTTCTTTCTTTTTCTCTTTTACTCCATCTTGTGATATTTTTAATTTTCACCTTTTATTCCAATATGGAAGATTAACTCAGAGAGCACTGAGCTGCATCTCCAGCTCTTTCTTCCTTTCTTCCTCTTTCTCTTTCTCTTTTGAGACAGGATCTCACTAAGTTGCCCAGGTTAGTCTTGAACTTGCAACTCTTTGGTGCCAGCCTCCCATGTAGCTCAGATTACAGCACCATGATGCCTGGCTACTTTTATCATTCATACTTGAAAGGATTAGTGATGTCCAGCAAATGAAATAATGAGTGTGTACTGGGGCCGGGTATCTAGCTCAGCGGTTCGGTGGCCTGCCTTGCAAGCGCAAGGACCTGAGTTCGATCCCCAGTACCACAAAAAAAAAAGAAAAGAGAAAAAGAAATAATGAGTGTGTATCTTTATATCTTGAAAATCCATATATATAACAATATTTAGTTTGTATATAAGATGATAGCAAGGTAATGACCGTAGGGTCTAAGCACACACACACACGTGCACACGCGCGTATATGTAAACACTCATACAGACACACACATCCCCAAATGAGTGCTGACCTTTTCAAAGTAGTCACCTTATAAGTGCACATGGCTTATTCCTGTTATATCACTGTTGCTAAAACTGGTCTTGAAACTTTGAAAACCTAAGCACCTTCATGTCTATCCTTATTAAGCAACAAAATATTTATTCTTTGTAGGTAGCTTTGGATTTCATTGATATCTGTAGGTCATTCACACATTAGTCTACAAATAGTTCACATGATCAACAAGCTGAAGAGCATAGTTTTAAATCCAAGGTGCACTTCCAATAAAATGAAACAGGTATTCTTCTGTTCTGTGAAACGGTACTAAACACAGCGCCACAAGAAGAGCTCAGGAATATTTGAGCAAGGTCAGGATCTTGGGAACTGTCCCTAGGTTCCCCCTGATGCCCTCTGTGGCGCTCCTCAGTAGGACTGTAGGATTCTGATCTGTGAAGACAATCAGTGCTCTCTCGTATCCATTCTAGCTTTGAAATTCCCTGGCATTATGATTCTACTCTGAAAGGGGTTATAGGTATAGATGAAGGGGTTCAGGACAGAGAATGGGACAAATCGGGAACTTGCAAATGTTTGCCATTGTTTAACTAGGTTATGGTGTATTCGTTACATTTGATCTTATTATCAAGTCTATTCTTGGTTGAATCTTTTTTTTTTTTTTTTTTACGGGTGGGGTTCCAAAGGCCAAAATTAAATAACTAGTCCAGTCCAGAAACAGAATCACTTATGAATCAAACTAAACCAGAAGTACTGAGGATTTACTTTCCTAATTTCAGACTTAGACCTACAGTTTCAACTTCAGGGCCTTCAAATGGCCATCTTCTCACTAGCATTAGACCTTCTAACTGTTGATAGAAAATGGATGAAAAACTTAGCAAGTAAATGAAAATAGTGGCACAATTTTCAGTTTCATAATGTGGCCCATTCCCCGCTTCCTACAACCCTTCATTTATACTTGTAACTGAAAACTCTACAAAGCTGAGAACAATTAGATGTTCCCCATTGTACAAGACAAAAAGCCAACCGTTTCGCACCTGTCTAGGAGAAACTGTCGCACACACGTAAATGTGAATAATGCCCACAGAGCTGAGAATATTCCTAAGAGAAACCACATAAGGGTAATGTTTAGTTATTAAAATTAGAATATTTTATCAGGACTGCAGCATTGTCTATTGAAAATGTCCATTCTAAATACAGCTCATAATGTAATTACAGCAATAATTTAGTTCGTGCATTTGAGGTTGTGAGATTTTTTTATATTTGCTGGATACAGTTCTGAAATTTAATACTTGTCTGTCTTGAGGAGATCTGCCCTGCATGCAAATCTATAACTAGACAAATATTATTTCCTTTCCCAGCTTGCTCTTGGGAGGTTCCCATACCCTCAGGTAAGATTGTTCATTACTGCCGTTTGCCACTGTGACATTCATTCCTATGTATGCAGGTGCAGGGAGCAGTCGTGAACATTGGAGCCACATGCAGATAAATCTGTCCTGTTAAATTGAAAAGTGGTATCTTAAAGGAGTCCGTTAGAAGTCTCTATTGATTTTTTTATTTTTTTTTTAAACTCCAGACTTTTTTCTTCTTTGCGAAAGGTTGACAGCGATCTGTGCTCTTCCTTTGTGTGATATTTGAGATGTTTTTGCCTTCTCCTGGCCTAGTACCATGTGCTCATATTGAGTCTGGAGAAGGGGCTCAGCCTTTTCTTGGTACTGTTTTTGGTTTTTTGTTGTTGTTGCTGTTGTTTTGAGCTTTTAATTAAAATTATTTAAAAGAATGAGATGAAGAGTGGAAATAATCTGGGTCATTATTTTTGCCAGGTAATAGGCCCCTGATGTTACATGTAATTCTGAGCATATTCTTTATGGATACCCCCTTCCTATCCACATTTCTAAGAAAACAAACTGTCCATGGTATTAGCGTTACTGGCTCCAATTTTTATAATTTCTTTAAAATTTTTATAGGGGGGGTACAAGCACTTAATATAAAGCCATTTTAGGGTTGGAAAATGATTCCCCAGCGTGTGTGAGGAAATCAGTGAAATGTCTAGAGGGATGAAAAATGAATGGCTTGACTGTTTTCCTCTGGTTGATGCTCAGTGTTTTTCTGGCATCTTGGTCTGTACAGGCCAAAGTGCCTGGAGGCATGTCTGATTTAAAGGTGGTGTTGGTCTCTGCTCTTTAAGCATCTATTAACTTGCTATTATTATGCAAATAAGTGTTGTATTACACATACTAATTTATGCATGGTTAGATTATGCAGATGCATCCCAAACATGGTTATTGAATAATAGGAGGGGGCTCGTTCTCTTCACCACCTTTATAAGCAGTTTGAAGGAAATTCTCCCGGTACCCATGTGGACGTTTTAAAGAGCCTTTACCCACCAAAATGTCTCCTGTATCCTTTTTCCTTCCCAGTAAAAGTCTTCAGATATGTGGGAGAGAACCCATCCAAGATTGTTAGGCTCAAGAGTGTTAGTCCCACTTTTCAAATTTGTAAGCTTCTTTGTTCAAACATAATCTTTTCCTTAAGGAGAAAAATCTGAAACATAAAATGTACGCACAGCATTTAGTGGGGTTTTAGTGCATATACAGCCTTGCTGCTTAGCTCTAGGTAGCCCATCAAATTAAAATCACATTTTCAGGATTTATAGCTCATTAGAATATTTATCTTGGTAAAGCCTCTTATTCTGTCAGTAATTTTTAAATAATTCATCGTTTGGCCAGTTTGTATAATCCTGTAAAACTGTGAAAATGAGCCGAAGAGGCTCTGTACAATATCATCTCTCAAACAAGTCGTAGTAGAAAACTTGAAAGCCGTCTAATAAAAATAACAAAGTGTGAAAATGTAGCTGTATTCTTGAGATGCCTACTGTCTAGAGTAATCACTCAGTAGCAGTTGGTGAGTGAGGGATCTGGGGTCCAGATTCGTGAGGGCTGTGGTCCGTGGGGAAGAGGGGGATGTCTTTGCAGGCTGTCTTCCTCTGTGTCTGAGTGCCACACTACAGATCAATCAGGTGAAAGCTGGGAAATTCTAATATGCCGAACTCCCTTGTTAGCAATAACCTTTAGGCCAGAGTGGGGGAAAAACTGTATTTCTTCAATTTCAAAAAATAATACAAGTAGCTTTGATGCCAGCAGACCTGTTTGCCAGAGCTGTCAGCAGAGGTTTGGGTGCTCTGCTGGTAAAATCAGTATGACTTTGGGTGGAACCAATATTTATTTTACAAGCTTTGTACTATTGACAGGAAGTTGGGAAAAGATACTTCATATGTGGCTTTCTTACCCTCCCTTCTCCCCTGAAATAAAGCCCATGAAGAAAAATGTATGTTCTCATAGTACCCAAAACTGGATTATAGAAGAGTACCTTCTCCTTGGCTCACCTTAACTCCCAAGCACTCTATGAACTATGGCTGGGTTGGTACCATTGAATCCCAAGTAGAGTAGAAAGAATCCAGTAGGAGTGAACCAAAGACTGTGAGGGTCGGAATAGATCTCAGACATCATCAGATCAAATTTCTGTGCAACATTTCCCAAAAACATCCATGCTGTGTTTGAATACCTCTAGTGACAGGAAACTCGTTATTTTACAAAGCAGTGGTAGGATCAAAGCAATATTCTAGTTACCAGGTTGAGGACTACTTCCTGCTAATTATCACCCACTGTCTTTGAACACAGAAAAGCCCTTCATTTATCATTAAGATCACAGTGTTGAATCCTCTGTACCCAGGCTGGGGGTAGTATCAGGAAATTGCTGCTCCAGACCCAAAGTCAAAGCAAGGCACTAGGCCTGGGTCTCTTCACTAGAGCAAGTGGAGAAGAGTGGCCCTTGGGAAAGAGCTCAGGCAGATGCAGGTAACTAGAACCCAGCTCTACCACAGTTCTTCGGTCTTGCTTTGTAACTTCTTAAGGCATTGCTTGCCTCCTCCTAACCCTAAAATAAGCATCCTGCTGTCTCCCTTTCCTATCTGATTAGAGGCGATGTGCTGGATATGAAACCACCCAGAAAATTACAAAGGGCCACCCCATTTGCCCTAATGTGGGGTGAGGCACAGAACAGCACTTCAGCCATCAACAGAAGATTGGGTAGGGATGTTCTTAGCAACCCCCCAGCCACCCCAGGAGAGAAGGTGCAAGGAGCAGAGAGTGGAGCTGAGAGAAGAGTGTCCAGGCCTGTCCTTCCCCGGCCCAGCATCAGGGCTCTGGTAGGGTCTTCCACAGGTGACACCGTGTGTATCCGTGAGGCTACAGATGAGAGAGGAGTGTTGGGAAGATACTAGGGAGAGTCAGTGGCCTGGGACCAACATACAGGCCAAAGGGCTGCGCTTTGTTGAGATGATGGTTTGTCTGAGCTAATCATTCTGTAGGAGTCTCATTGTTTGGTACTTGAAAGCACTGACTGAGTTTCCTCTAGGCCACTGATGGCAAATCTTGTAGAGCTTTCAATGATACAGACTCCCTGCTATGGCAGGGTCCTAGGCCTTATGGTGGCATAGCCTCATTGACATGCAGTTTGGGACTCTGTAGGAAAACAGATTAGGGCCACTCAATACACAGCCTTATTATTGTAACATATAAGAATAGAGGTATCTCAAATTCTTCCAGCACTATGGGGCTCCTGACCATTTCTGTATCTGTCCCAGGTTGTCCATCCCACCTGTGAGGACCTATGGTGTCCAGGCAAGCAGACTGAGAGCCACAGGTGAAGCACCTTGCCTTAGGGGTGGGGACAGTCAAGTCTAGGACTTTGAGTAGTTAAGCCAAGGACTGCTCCGTGGCCTCTAGTGTGGCTGGCTGTTCCTAACTTTGCTCTCTTCCTCCTCAGCCCTGCCAGCCCTTCTAGTTTGTCTCCTCTGCCCCAGGGTGGCCTGGTGTGTAGATGCCAAACACCAGAGGGATATGGCGGTATGGGTGATGGCAAGGCCATTCCTTAGAGCCCTTTGCTTTTCTTACCATGTGTTTAGGAAAAGGACAGGGGCATCCACAGGGCCTCAGAGCCCTCACCAGCGCATGGAGCATATTCTGCAATAGGACAATAAGAAATTGCTTTTTTAGACACCTTATCGACAAAAGATCCCAATTTCTTGAACAGTTTAGCTTTAGTAGTAATCTGGAAAGATGTATAAGTGTGGACAAGGATGGAGACTGTGTGTAGTTAATCAAATAGATCCAAATTCAGTTGGCTTCAAAGACATGATGTTGGGCAATGGTTTGTTTAATGATGCCGTAATTTAGGAGACACCAGAAGGATTGCCCGTTAAAAATCATCATCCTTCATTCAAACTTTACAAACTATAGGCCCTGCATTAGTCCCATAGTAAATCCACTAAGGCGACTTCTCAGGGGATGTGTCTGCTGTGGCACTGGAAAATTTGGTAAGCAGGATGCCACAGGAAGGCGAGGCTCACGCAGACACAAATGTATTTAAAGTACTTTTGCAAGTATAAAAATATTGTTCTTCTTTTGGCTACAATTCCTGATCTTGGTTAATAAATTACATCAAAATGACCTGAAGTTAAAAAAAAGGGGGTTGGGGGGAATCTGAGCAAATAGTGCCCCTGGTATTGTAAAGCTTTGAATGTTTTCACACCCCATTAATTTATTACTTCTCTTTCTTCATCTTTAAATTTCATTTTTTTTTCAAAAATTCCGACTCCCTGCTGCTGCAGTGATTTTCATCTTGTTGTTAATTTTCCCTGCTCCATATGGAGCTCCAGACATTTCACCTGGAGGCTGTACTAGATTTTGCTGTAGTGATCGTACTTCCGGAGGCCAAAACTGTCATTTAGGGTTCCTGGTGCATCTGTCTGCGCCAGGCTTTTCACTGGCATGGAAGAGTGTGAATAACAAATTGGATGCACCTGAGATTCGGATGATTAGTGTGTTTTGTGAATCTCCACGACTTGTAAGCAGCTAGCACTGGGGGAGGGGCGGAGGGCCACGCTGCTGCGGCTGTGGGCGAATCCTTACTCACACCTTCCATTTGGGGCTCTGCGAGGGAAGTGCAGACATCCTAGGCGGCGGCCCCAGTGCAGAGAGAGTAACAAATATTTCATCCTGCCTTGTCATTGATTAGAAAAGAGCCTTTAATTTCATTTCACCCCATGTTGTGATTAATTTGCATTCTTTGTCAGAAGTTAATGGAGTTTTTTATGGTTCACTCTGAAATCCTTGAAGACATCAGACTTGATCTGATGTTTATACAACCGCCAGCGGAATTTTTTCGTTTGATTGATGGCAAGCTTGATGTTATTCCAAACGGCTTTTTAAGCTGTTTTTAAGAATTATTTGAATAAAATGCAAGCAAGATATTGTTGTAATGATCAAGATTATCTGTTAAAAATCTGTTTCAAATGAAGAAGATGATAAGTAGTAAAAAGATCAAAAAG